CGCGAGCAGGCGTCCAGCGCCATGGCGGCGCGGGGACCACCACACACCATCACAATTGCAGAAGAGAGCGCTGCCCCATACAGGCAGGCGCCTGTGCCTGCGAACGTGGCCGCAAGTGTGCTGGCACGTCCCCAGGAAAACGAGGCGGTGAAAAGACAACATGAATCTAAACATCTGCGCGGAGCGCCGAATGATTCTGCGCGGAGCGCCGAAAGAATATGTCTGTGCAAATTGGTGTACTTCGACTCTTTTCCCCTCCCTCCATCCGAGCAAAGGAATTTCTGTGTCCACGTGGGGGGGTCGGTGTCCTGCTGTGGTTTTCTTAGCCCCGATTCGTGCTTTGTGTCTAGATTTAGGTCGGGCATGCCCTCCTACAGGCGGATTGTGGGCGAAAAATAAAAAAGAGTCACCACATATTCAAAATATTCAAAACAAAAAACCGTTCACAGACCACTATTTCTGAAGATTCCCTCCTGTAGAGGGACAGGCCCGACTGAAGTCTATATGGGGGGTTCTGTGTCCACGAGGCCCTGGGCCTTTGGGAAGCCTCGAGAAAGCGAGGCCTCTGCGTGGGCCGCCTCCATCGAGAAGTCTCCTCTGGGCTCCCTCGAGAGAGAGAGAGAGAGACAAAGAAAGAGAGAGAGAGAGAGAGAACAAAAAAAAAAAACAGGGAGAGACGCTTCCTACGCTTCCTCTCCTCCTCCTCCTCCTCCTCCTCCTCCTCCGCCTCCTCCTCCGCCGCCGCCTCCTCCTCCTCCCTCCCTCCGCTGGGCTCCTCCCCCGCCCTTGGCCTGCAGCGCGCGCTCGAGTGCTCCATGCCCCCGGCAGGGGTGCTCCGCCAGTACCCTCCTCGCGAGCCTCGAGTCCCGAGGCCTGAGTCCCTCCACCGCCCTCCAGGCCCCAGAAGGGGGTCCTCCTCCCAGCGATTCGCTCGGACGTTTATTCCCCGTGCACGTTCCGGATTCGTGCGTGCCTGTTTCGGCGAGATGGCCCGGAAGGCGCCTCGAGGGTCCTCGCCGCGAGAAATGCGCACGTCCGAGCGATGCCACGCCAGGTGGGGGCCCTCCTTGGTGATCACGCACACGTCGACGTTGCCTCCCGAGCCGAGGTCGTTGAAGATGCCCGCGCGGATGGCCTGGGCGGGGCGCCGCTGGCCCTCCCCGAGGAGGAGGAGGATGGGGAGGAGGAGGAGGAGGAGGAGGAGGAGGAGGAGGAGGAGGAGGAGGAGGAGGAGGAGGAGGAGGAGGAGGAGGAGGAGGAGGAGGAGGAGGCAGAGGGCAGAGGACAGAAGATGATGAGGAGGAGGGAGGAGGGAGGGAGGGGGAGGGAGGAGGAATGGAATGGAATGGACTTGACTGGGCTGGACTGGAATGGAATGAAACGGAACGGAGTGCTGATTGGAATGGAATGGATTGGAATGGGGGGAAGGAGTGGAACGAGGAGGAGGAGGAGGAGCTGGAGGAGGAGGAGGAGAAGAGAGGAGAAAAGCGTGGAATGTAATGCAATGCTCATGAGAGGGGGGTGCGGGGGAGGAGGAGGCAAGGGGGAGGCAGGCGGAGGCAGGAGGATCCGGAACGGGCACGCCCCCCGTCCGCGGCTCCCTCCGCTGGCCCACCCTGCGCTCCTCCCCCCCCTCGCACCACAGCATATTTGGCAGAGCCCGCGGCAGTCACGGGGGCCCCTTGCTGCATGCCTTCCCCCTCGGCGCTCCCCGTCTCGCCCTGGTCCCGCAGGCGCCCGGCTCGTCGCCCGCCTGCTCCCTCCGCCTCCTGCCCCGCCTCGCACTCCGCGACCGCTCCCCGTTCCCCCCCCCTCCGCAAGAGTCGCCCTCGTGTCCCGGTCCCCCCCGCCACTGCACCACCACCCATCACAAGTTCCCTCTGCGCGCGCCCTTTTCCCGTTCCGCTTCTTGCATCCGAGCCTGTTCTGCGCCCCGCTCCCCGACGATGCCCTTGCTCCCACTCCGAGATTGTAGGGCTGATAATCCCCATGCCAAGTGTTGAGTCGCGGCAAGCCAAGAAATGCTGCAAAACAAACTATCTGAAAAGCCTCGTCGGGTTGGCCGTTCTGTGCAAGAGGGAGAGAGATAAGCAAATCGTAAAAAAGATAAACAAAAAAGGATAGGTGGACGCTGTCTCGTATTGCAATCCTAAACGTCCGATCTGCAGCTGCACAAACAAATGCCTCAAACAGTGCTTGCACGTAGGCCTCATTGCTTGCGTTTGAAGGAACTGCCACATGAGGTTCTGCGACAAATTCACGTCGCGATGACGTCGGCGAATGTTTCCGACATCGCGTGGATAGCTCCATCTTGAACGATTGCGTCTTCCCGGTAGCGCTGATTGTTCGATGCCGGTCGGCTCCAAGACGGCAGAGGCAATCAACATTGAACGCACGTGCTGGGGTCGCCGCCGTCAACTCGGCCCGATCCTGCCTTACACATACACACACACACACACTCCCCCTCCCCCCTCTGCGAGGCGGCGATTCCCCCAATCAGTGCTTGCACTGAAGGGGCCCTAGCGGATCTTGAAGGATTTGGCGACAAAGGGCGGCCGCTTTCGGTAGGCGGCCGGGTTCCCGGTTTCTCGGTTCTGGGTTCCCTGGTTCCCCGTTGCTGGTTCCGGGCCGATTTCGGTGGGCGGCGGGGTTCCTAGGTTTCTGAGATCCTGGGTTCCTGGTCGATCTCTCGGGTTACTGGTCGATTTTTCATCGATCGGTCTCACCATCGATCTCATAACCCATGTCTCTGTCAATCTCACTATCGATCTCGCAATCGATCTCACATCCGATCTCACAATCGATCTCACTATAGTTCGCACGAGCAATCTCACGATCGATATCACTATCGATCTCTCTGAGTCGATTTCATGATCGGTCTCACGATCGTCCTGACAATCGTCCTCACTATCGATCCCATTATGGATCTCACGATCGATCTCACAATCGAGCTCACTATCCGTATCACTAATTTTCAAACCATCCACTGATTGGAGTCTTTCTCTGGTGTGATATCCATATCCGCCGCCTGTGGAATCGACGTCCTGGGACCCAAGCGGGCGGTGGATATGGATATTGTTTGGCCGAATCCGCCTAAGCCCCGCTTGCCAGGGGTGACAGGGCGTGTGAGATGATTGGCTGTCCCCCTCCCTCTCCCAGGGTCTTAATCGCGTTTGAGAGCCCCCTCCCTCAGCGGGGGGACGAGCTCGTCAACGCACCCCTGCGGTCTCCAAAGCCTCCAAATCCTAACTCCGTTGCCTCCAAGATGCTTATGATCTGATCTAAACTTCCTCCAACTAGTTAGGCTCCAACACGCCGAGGAAGCCTCAATGACATCCACAATGGCCTCAAGACGGCCCGAAAGGCTTCGAAGACGCCCCAAGAGGGCTCCCCCACAAGAGGCCCCAAGAAAACTCCCACAGGTCCAAGAGAGGTATCGAAATGCCCTCAAAATGTCCCCAAGAAACCCCATAAGGCCTCGCCGGTTAACATTTACCGTCCGCCCCAAGAGCACCACCGAGACCGCCAGCAGGCGCCGAAGAGGACCCATAATTCGCCCAACATTCGGGCCCATGTACTCAGGCCCGAAAGATCAGGATGGGTTCCACTATCGTCGCGAGCTCTCCCTCTCTCTCTCTCTCTCCTGGGGGGTCGGCGGAACGGCGAAAGCCTGTTGAATCTGTACGTATCCACCGCCTGCCGAGGTCCCCGAAGATTGATCCCCCAGGCGGTGGCTACAACTGGACCCAGGACAGAGGAGCATTCTTCAAGAACATGAGACCTTCCGCTGGCCGAAACACCCGAAGCACGAAGACTGCCCTCCCCCACGATGCACAAAAACACCCAACATCAGTGGATGGATTTCGCTGAGGAGATCGACCGGGAACCCGGGAGCCCGGGAACTCAAAATCCACCGAAACCGGCCCGGAACCAATAACCGCGAACCCGGGAACCCAGAACTGGGAACCTGGGAACCCAGCCTGCTACCAAAATCGGCGGGAAACTGTCGCCAAATCTTCCAGCTTCCGCGAGGACCCCTTCGGTGCAAGCAGCGATTGGGGAACAAAAACACGAACCCTGACCTTCCAGAGAGCTAATTTTTGGCACTGGAGGCCTAAAAACCTATTTAAAAAACTTAACGAGCCAGCCTAAAACCAAGACGTATAATAGCTTTTGGGTAGGTTTTTAAGTCGGGTGAATTTTTAGCCCTCCTCCTCCTCCTCCTCCAATTTTTAGCCCCCATGGAAGGTCACGGAAGAGCAGGAGGGCACCCTCCCCGAACCGACCTCGATCTTGCACCTCGGCCTGGCCGCAGGCACCCTTCCCCGCCTCGGGCCCTCCGAGAGCTCGACCAGTACACGTACTCCCCTCCTCCTCCTCCTCCTCCTCCTCCTCCTCCTCCTCCTCCTCCTCCTCCTCCTCCTCCTCCTCCTCCCCTCCTCCCCCTCCTCCCCTCCTCCTCCTCCTCCTCTCCTCCTCCTCCTCCTCCTCTCCTCCTCCTCCTCCTCCTCCTCCTCCTCCTCCTCCTCCTCCTCCTCCTCCTCCTCCTCCCCTCCTCCTCCTCCTCCTCCTCCTCCTCCTCCTCCTCCTCCTCCTCCTCCTCCTCCTCCTCCTCCTCCTCCTCCTCCTCCTCCTCCTCCTCCTCCGCCCCGGGCCCTCCTCCCCGCAGCCCCGAGGCCCCGAAGGCTCCCCCCCCCGCCGCGTGCGACCCCCTCGGAGGCCCCGACCCCTCCACCGGGGCCGGGCGCTCCTCGCCCCGAGCCGTGCCTCGGCGGCCGCGGGGCGCAGCGAAGGCCCCCGGGAGGTCGTCGTCGTCGTCGTCGGTGTCGGCGTCTACGTAGTCGTCGTCGTTGTCGTCGTCGTCGTCGTCGCCGTCGTCGTCGTCGTCGTCGTCGTCGTCGTCGTCGTCGTCGCCGACGTCGTCGTCGTCGTCGTCGTCGTCGTCGTCGTCGTCGTCGGGCGAGAATAGAGGAAGAAAAAACACCGTAGACACAAACTTTTGGCGCTCCGCGCGGACTTCTTGCATCTGCGCAGGGTGGCCGAACATCTGCCGAGCACCGGAAGCGGGTCGGATCGGGGCTGGCCAAAGCTGCTGTCGGATCGGATCGACGGGATCGAGAAGGACCCTCTTTGCAGCCGCCGAGTTCAAGATTCAAACCTGCGCTGTCGTGAATTGCTCAATGCGCCGTCCCCGGAAGTCCAGGCCCTTTTCCCCAGGGCCGGTGCTTTCCATCCCGCCAGTCGTTGTTTCACAGCCCCAGGGCCTGGCGAGGGCCCCAGGAGGCCGAATGCGGTCAAAACCGTTAAACCGTCCGTCGTGTTTTTTGCGCGACGCGATGATTTTGGGGGATGCACCTTCTCGATCTAGAAGCCTCGTATGGGGGAGGCCGAGTAGATGGGGTCGGAGGATCGCGCCGCATCGCCGATGCGCGACGTCGGCGATGCATCGGCGACGTCGGCGTGGAGGAAAGCGGGTTCCGCATCGAGCCGCATCGCCGACGCGTCGGCGATGCAGGAAACCCACCTGCTCGGACCCCACCTGGGAGGCATAGAGGATCGAACCGAGATCCATGAGGTCGAGATCCCATCGATGGACGGCTGAGACCGAGGTCCGATCGATGGGCGGCCCCTTTTCTGCTGCCGCCCGCGGCCGCCCGCAGCCCTGTGCGCGGCGCGCGGCGCTTGCCGAGCGCAGCCTCACCCGCACGGCGCCGCCCGAGCACGCCCCCGCCCCCATCAGCCGAACAGCCCGCCGCCAGCCAGCCTGCTCAGAGCCTGGCTCGGGCGTTGCTCAATGGTGGGGGCGATGGACGGGGGGGGGGAGGGACACGCTCACCATCTTCTTTCGTGCCCTTCCTGGCCCCCCTAGGGCCCCCTTAGAGCACACAAGGGATGCACCTTTCTTCCCCCTCTCCTCCTCCTCCTCCTCCTCCTCCTCCTCCTCCTCCTCCTCCTCCTCCTCCTCATCATCATCATCATCATCATCATCATCAACCTCCTCCTCCGCCTCCTCCTCATCCTCGTCCTTCTCCTCCTCCTCCTCCTCCTCCTCTCCTCCCTCCTCCTCTCCTCCTCCTCCTCTCTCCCACCTCCTCCTCCTCCACCTCCGCCTCCTCCTCCTCCCCCTCCCCCTCCTCCTCCTCCTCCTCCTCCTCCTCCTCGTCCTCCTCGTCCTCCTCGTCCTCCTCGCTTTCCTCGTCCTCCTCCTCCTCTTCGTCAACGTCTTCGTCCTCGTCGTCGTCCTCCTCCTCCTCCTCCTTGTCGTCCTCCTCCTCCTCCTCGTCCTCCTCCTCTTCCTCCTCCTCCTCCTCCTCCTCCTCCTCCTCCTCTTCTTCCTCCTCCTCCTCTTCCTCCCCGTCCTCCTTTTCCTGTGGACCACGCGTCCCGTACATCCAGCGGCCCGATTCGTTACGCAACTGCATGGGATCCCAGGGAACCTCTCGACCGTTCCGGGCGCCCCCCAGGGCTTGGGAACAGCATGTGCTGGACACAGAGAACGCGGCGAAAGCCGGGCGCCTCATTTTTCCTCGAGTCGCCAAGCCCAGACGTGCGACGTCCTGATGTAATCCGGGGCCCCCCGAAGGTGGCGTCGTTGTCCCCGAGGCCGGCTTGTCATCACGAACCGTTTTTGATGGTCCCGAAGCCCAGCGAGGGCGCCTGGAAGCCGGCAGTGACTAAAAATCGCAATTTTCCGAAAGTGTTCGAAGCGTTAGGATTTCCGGGGCTGGTGCACGGCGCCGCTGGCGGAACACGCCACCCCCGGGACCGCGCACACCTGGGTCGGGCCATGGCAGCGCCCCGAACACGGGCGAGCAGCGAAGCGGCTCCCATGGCCTGGGCCAGCGGACTCAGGGGCGCCCGACAGGGGCGCGTCCAAGTGGGGGGCTGCACATCATGGCCCGGAGCGCGTGCGCGGACGAGGGGGGGCCAGGGGTCATGTTGAAAGAAGACCGGCTACACGCAGGAGTGACACTAGGAAAGAGTAACCTCTGGCTGGTGCGCGGCTGAACGGAGGACGCGAGGCGGCCAAACCTGGGCGCGCAAGCCGCCGCTACCGCTTCTCGTTCAGCGATCGGGGACCCCATTGACGAACCCACACCAAAGTTCAGACGCGGACGTGCAAGGAGAAGGAGGAAGAGGAAGAACAGAAAGCAAGCAACCGCGCGGGGAGCGGGGGGGGAGGTTGTCGGCGTCGGTGCTGGGACGGGCGCCGTCGTGGTCGGCGAGCACCCGTCTGAGTCCAGTCAGGGCGCGGGGGGGCGGAGGGAGGGGTGGCGGCGGGGCGGAGGGCGGAGACTTCGGGCGGTTGGCTCAAGCACCGCGGCCAGCCTGGCTGCTGGCGCGCCGTGCGTCGCCTGCCCGCGCGCAGTCGTTTTTCGAAGTAGAAGCGAAAGTCGTTGGGCGTGCTCCGCCGCCGCGATGGCGGGATGCTCCCCAGTGGCGTCCGCCGCGCTGTGCCAGGACGGCCAGGGCGCGGCGCGCCTCCTTGCCCCAGGCGCCGCCGTGCGCCTCCATCACCATCGGGATGAAAATGACGCCGGCGGCGCTGCTGTGCGTCGAGGAGCTGTCGTTCCTGCTCCTCGCAGCCTCGCAGCGTTCCGCGCCCGCCCCGGGCGCAGCGGCCGAGGCGGCAAAAGGGAATCGCTCCGCGGCCCCGAAGCGACCGCAACACAGAAACCGCCGAGGCGCCGCTCCGCCCGCGGGGGGCGCGGACGTCCGCTGGGCGCCCGCCGCCTGCGTCGAGTCCGCCGCCGCCCTCCTCCGCATCGGGCGGCCCCCCCCCTGTGCGCGGGGTTGCGGCGAGCCCGGCCGCTCGATCTCGGCGCCCGGGAAGCCCGCGGCCTGCGCGGCGAAGAGAGTCGAGTCGCGAAGGGCTCTGCGTCGCTTCGCGCGGTCCCCGCGGCAGGGGCGCGGCAGCGCGAGGTCGCCGTGGACGTCCAAGACGCCGTCGCAAGCGGGACAAAATCCCTCTCGGCGTAGATGGTCTAGGGAGTTTCCTCTTCCAACCCCCTTCTTCCCCTTCGGTGAGAGAAGGGTTTGCCCCTCCCCCTTGTCCCGCCCCCTGGACCTGACCGGGGGGGTGCGAGCGGTCAGAGCTTCCAAGATGGCCCAAGACGGCTCCAAGAGGGGCTCAGAGAGCCCAAGAATAACTCCAGATGTTTCAAGATAGCGCAAGATGCCTCAAGATGGCTTCCAAGAGGCTCCAAGACCGCCCCAAGATGGCTCCACGAGGCCTCCGAGACCTCCAAGGAGGTCTCCAAGAAGCCAGAATCTGTCAAACACCCTCGGAAAACCAATGATTTGTGCCTTCTCGTTTTTTCGCTTCCGATGGCCATCCGAGGCCTCAAGATGGCTCCAAGATGGCCCAAGAGGGCCAAAAGAGGGGCCCAAGAGAGCCCCAAGACGGCCCCAAGAGCGCCCAAGAGCGCTCCAAGAGCGCCCCAAGAGTGGCCCAGGAGGCTATTTTGGGGGCTCCCGAGGGGGGGCGTAATTAGGGAACCCCCTTCTCTGATCGATCTCCTCCAAGCTGGCCCCGAATGCGCCCAGAAAGCCTCCCAAGAGCGCGCGCCGAAAACGCTTCCAGAAGGCCTCCAAGAGAGCCCCCAGAGGCCCAAAGACGCCTGGCGGGGGCGCCGGGGGGGCGGCGCGGGCGTCGGCTCTCGCCCTCTCCTGTGCCTGCCCCCCCCCCCTTTCCCCCCAGGGCCCGCGTCGCGTGCCAGCCCCCCCGGGCCAATGGCAAGGGCCAGTGGCAGCGGGGAAAGGCTCGCAGGCTGAGGCGCACAGGGGTACGACGCGACGGGGGGGCGAGAAAGAAAACGCGGGGGGAGAGCCTGTGCCGCGGGCAGAAGGGGGCGCGGGAGAAAGGGGGCGATGGCAGACAGACGGGGCAAGACAGGGCGGAGGAGCAGAGGCGACGCAGGACGCGCACGGACAGGGCGAGAGAAGGAAAAGCGAGGGGCCGGCTTAGGAAACGGCGGGGTGTCCTCTGCTGGCCTTCTGGCGCAATGGGGTTCTCGCATAATTATATCCTCTCGTGTTCTGGCACGTTTCTGGCCCAACCCATTTGCGCGCGCTGCGTGTATTTGCGAGTGCCACCGCGCCCCATCCACGTCGATCCTACGTCAAACTCATCTTTTCCAACCCCTATGTGCGTCGTATGTGTCTCATGGCCCCCTGTTATAAGACCCCCGCACCTCTGTTCCCCATGGTGTTCTGTCCGTCGGTCCACTGCCCTCACGCCAACGTCTGTCCCGGATTCCGCAGCCAAATCTCTCTCCTCGTCGGTCGTTTGCATTGTTTATCACTCAGACTCGTTCCTTCCCGCTTGGTGGATGCATATGGGCCAACCTTCGCGCGCGCACTCGGTGGGGAGACGCCTTGCAACCTGGGCGGGGTGGGCCCCGTCTTGGTCCGCGACGCAGTGGCCAACGGAATGCCTGAATTCACCAACTTCGTCTCGCCCAAATCCACTCATCCGCCATGAGCCCACGCGCTCGGGCCATCTGCCTCGCACTCCCGCTTCTCCCAACCTGGCGGGCGCAGGTCGGCTGGTCGCGCGGCGGTCTCCTCGTGCTGCCTCTTGAGCTGAATGCCGTAGTCGACCCGCTTGCTCTCGTCTTTAGGCATCCATCCGAAGTGAATCCACGTAGACGGGTCGTGTTCTTCAGTTATGGCTTCCTGTCCTCGTCGTGCAGTCTGAGCTCCTTGACACTATCGTCCATCTGGCTCGTGAGGTAGTTGTTATTGTTCAGCACCTGTGCCCTCTTGCACTCGCCTACCTTGTCGTGGAAGAGGCCTTCGACCTTGGAAGGCTCCGCGATGACTTCTCCTGTGGTCCGCAGTTGGTCGTTCAGCATGAGCGAGCCCTCTTCTTTCGCCATGGCGTCTCCACGGCGTGGGATGGATGCATCTCGGGCTGTCGCGCTGCTCAGCCAGAGCTGCTGGTGCTGGCGCCTCGCGTGGCTGATCTGGCTCACGAGGCTTCCTTGGAGCTTCTTCCACGTCTCAATGCAGCCCATGATGTTTTCACTAGTTTCGCAGAACACGTAATTGATGTCGCCCACCCGTTGGAGGTGCATGCGCGAAGCGTTGGTCCTGTTATGTTTTCTCCCATCACCAACACGCACCTGCAATCTACAATTTGATATTCGGAGCTGCTCTTCGTTCGCTTCGTGCCGTTGCTGCCACCCTCGCACCCCTTGCCCTTGATGGCGCTGTCCTCCTCGTCCTAAGGTCCCATTGTAATCATGTCCTGCCTCGGGATGGCGTAGTTCATCACCATGTTGATCGTCACCATGATGTTCTGGTAGATCTCGATGTGACGAGCGTGGTTCTCGAGCAGCCGGTACCTCAGCCTGTGTCCAGTTTTCCACATGTGGGCTGGGTTGAGGGTCTTCTTCATCATCTGCTTGTTCTGCTTCTGGCTGTCCACCAGCAGACAAGCATTTTGATGATGGCGGTGCCTCCTGGGAAATCCTTCGAACGTCCTCCATGGCTGAAGGTCTCGCATAACCGATGCCGTCTTCCACCTGCATGTTCATACTGGTCCCTACCATGCCCCCCTGGCGGTCAGATCTGGTAGTTTACTGTATCGGTGTGCCAGCTCTGCATGGACGAGCCCGGAACAACTGTCGACTGGTAAGCAGATGTTCCCCGTCGGTTTCCTCTTGGGGCCATTTTTCTCTGGGCCTCTGGAGACCTCGTCGTTGGCAGGATCTCCAGCATTTGATTAGCATCCCGCTCATTTTGTTCCTCGTCCGGATTGATCATCTCCATCGAGCCCGTCGGCCCCCGAGTCCGTGTGCCATGTCTCCTCCCCCCTCAAATCGTTGCGATGGCCATGCGGAGGGAGAAGAGGAGGCGGAGGCGCTGAGAGGAAGAGGAGGAGGAGGTTGTGGAGGAGGAGGAGGAGGAGGAGGAAGAGGAACGAACGAACGAACGAACCACCACTGCGGACAGCTGTCCGGGCCTGCTCGAGACCTGGTGGAGGAGGCCGTAGCCTCTTCAAACCTGCACATATGGACTACACGCGATCATGCATATGGACAGTGAGACATAAAAACAAATCTGCGACGGAGGAGGGGAGGAGGGAAGTCCTGGATGTGGATGTCGGCGTAGTGTCGTTACGTGGGGTGTGCGTATTGCCGTTCGAGTGTCGACCAGGTGGTGGTGTCTTGGGCCGTGCGAAGAGGAAGAGGAGGAGGAAGAGGAGGTGGAGGAGGAGGAGGAGGAGGAGCAGGAGGAGGAGGAGGATGAGGAGGAGGAGGAGCAGCGGGGGGAGGAGGAGGAGGAGGAGGAGGAGGAGGAGGAGGAGGAGGAGGAGGAGGAGGAGGAGGAGGAGGAGGAGGAGGAGGAGGAGGAGGAGGAGGAGGAGGAGGGGGGAGGAGGAGGAGGAGGAGGAGGGAGGAGAGGAGGGAGGGGGAGGAGGATTGGAGGAGGGAGGGAGAATGGAGGAGGGAGGGATGGAGGAGGGAGGGGAGGGAGGGAGGGAGGGAGGGAGGGAGGAGGGAGGAAGGGAGGGAGGAAGGGAGGAATGGAGGGAGGAATGGATGGAGGAATGGAGGAGGGAGGAATGGAGGAGGGTGGAATGGAGGGAGGGAGGGAGGAGGGAGGAAGGCGGAGGGAGGAAGGCGGAGGGGGGGCCTGGCGCTCCAGGCTGCCGAGGTCCTCCAAGTCTGGCTCGGCCGGCGGCCGCGCCGCGGGCGTCCCGGCGGCAGGCGGGGCCCCGCGCGGCTTCCGCGCCGCCGGCGGTGCCAGGCGCGGCTTCGCCGCCCCCTCGCGGGGGCCAAAGGTACGGTTAAGCCGGGCGTGGGGGACTTTGCACGAAAAGTAAGCAATTGTCAAAAAACGGATTCCCAAATACCCAGAAGTAGCAGAAGGATCGTCCCGAGACCATTTTGTTGGCTATTTGTGAACATTCCCCCTGTAGAGGGACAGGCCCGACTTAGAGGTACGGGGCTTCTGCTCAGCGTGTCGCGGCGTCGGCGTAAAGAGAAAGTCGGGCTCCACATCGAGCCGCATCGGCGATGCATCAGCGGTGTGGCGCGATCCTCCAGGCCCATCTGCATCGGCCCAGCTTGGGAGGCCTGGGGATGACTCCCCTCGAACTCATGCATGAAGCCACCGCCGCGGGGGTTACGGTCGGAACCTTTGCTCCGCGCGTCGCGACGGCGGCCCCGGCGGCACGCTGCGCACTGCTAGCGTGTCGCTCCGCTCCGATGGGCGGAAGGCTCGGAAAGGCTCGGGCCGGTGCAGCCTGGAGACTGGGAAATGGATCGCGTGTCGCGTCGAAACGTGGTGTGCCGGAGCAGGCGGAGCGACACACAAATCAAACATTCCCCACCGCATGGAGGGATAACAAACTTAGATATCCGCCGGGGGGGCGCCGCCGAACATAATAGCATCCATGATACGTCTGGTGTTGACAATATCGCCGCCGCCCCTTCGCGGGGGTTACCGTCAAGTTCTTCCTTGCCACGAACAAATATTTGCTCAGAGTACCCAAGATACGAAATGACAAAATTGGCTATCTATATTTTGGTCACGGAGACTTTTTGGTGAAATCCTAAATGCCCTTGGTGCGCGATCGAGACGTGGCAAGGGTCTGGCAAAGTAATCGCCCGCCAGCGGAAACCTATGTTTCGCATTGTTAGATTCGGCAGTGGCGTCGTAAACAACTGCCCAACGGAACAAACTAAGCGGAATCTCGCAAACACATGGGCGTAGGTGGTCTAACGAGTGCTGTCGTCTCTCTGCCGCAGCCCCCTTCCCCTTCAGCTCCCCCAGGCGACCAGCAGCCACCCAGGAACAATGCCGACCCCATGCTCACTGCTCATTCCCCCCCAACCATCCCTGTCAAAAACAATACAAAAGGCACTGCCTCCAAATTCGGAGCATGCCACCAGTCTTGTCGAACAAAAATTCGAAGTACACTTTGGCGCAATACTTTGTCGTGTTTTTGACAGGGACGCCGGGGATGTTAACATATTGCCTGCTGTGCGTAGGGCGACCATCCTGACAACAGAACGGTTCGCCTCGCGGCTAAATCTGGATAGTGGGTAGTGCGCGACCACCCCCCGAGATCACTGTCGAGTGGTTTTTGACAGGGACGGCGGGGGTGGTGGCGTGTGGCTTGCTGTTCGCAGGCCCACCAGACACAATGATGAGCGGTCGCTTTCGACAAGGATGGTGGGGGCCGACATGCTTCCCGATGTGTGCAGTCACGTGCGCAGGCGCACCTGACACACTCTGCACGTGCCCCGAACGTGGCGCACCTGGCGCGGCTGGAGTATGCGGCACACCTAGTGCACGCGGAGCACGTGGCGCATCTGGCGCACAAGCATTGCCCCGCACGCTCGGGCCCCAGGTGTGCCTGGCGCGCGTGGCGCGCCTGGCACGCGTGGCACACTTCGCCCCAGCGTCGCGCACATGGGGTCGGTTTTGGTTCCCAGCAGCTGCCCATCCAAAGACGACTCCTGAACATGCTGAAGCTCGGGTGTTACTGACGTGTTGGGAGGGCGGGTGGGAGTGAGCTAGACGCTTTGCCATCGATGAGGGTGTTTTGACCCATCCCCCATACCCCCTCCGAGGGGTCTGGGTGGGAGGGGGGCGATGGTGTCAGGGAATCCTCTGTCGCCCAAGATGGTTCCAGGAGCGCCTCCACCGCTTCGAGATGGGTCAAGATAGCATGGTTCAAGGTAGCTTCTGACATGCCTGCAAGAGGCCCCAAGATGGCCACATGACGGCTCCAAGTGCGTTCGGAGCCACCCGAGGATCGCCTCAAGAGTCCAAACTCGTTCAACTATCCTGGCGAAGGACACAACCACATGCAGTTGTGAGTACCTAGTGTGTGAATATTTCCTTCGGCGGCGCCCACGAACCGTACGAGGGGCGTGCCGAAATGTGGCGGGTTACACGACGAAAAAAAAAAACAAAAAAAAAAAAAAAAAAAAAAAAAAAAAAAAAAAAAAAAAAAACGGTCGGTCCAATTACGAGAGACTGAGCGCGGGCGAATCTGCGCGCGAGCGAATATATTTGCACGAGTGCGATCATGACTACGCCTCGTGCAAATGCGCATGAACGTGAACGGTTCGGGCACGCCTGTCTGCGCACTCGCGACACTGAGCGCGGCCGCCGCAGAAAGCCTCCGCGGGGGCCCCGGCGGCAGCGCCCGCGCGCCGCGACGCCCGTGTCGGCGCGACCCTCACGAGGATCGCGCCCGCTTCCTTCCCTTCTTTTCGTCCCTCTTTGCCCGCGCGCTCCAAAGTCCAAGGCTGCGGGCGCAGCGCGGCGCGGAGTCCCCGCGACGCGCGCCGGTCGCCCCTCAAGGGCCCCAGCGACGCGCGCGGGTCGTCCGCTGCGCGGAGCAAAGAGAGTTAGCTAGCAGCTGGCTGGCTGATAGCGGGCAAGGCTCTGACAGCCAGGCAGAGCGACGACGGGCGAGCGAGGCGCAGGGGAGAACGCAGCGCGGAGTTCCCGCGACGCGCGCTGATCGCCCCGGGAGGGCCCCAGCGACGAGCGCGTGTCGTCCGCGGCGTGAGGTCACGCAACTAATAATTGGGCAGTCGAGAGAAGGCGCGGCTCGGGGGGGGGGGGCGCTCCTCAGGCCAGGCCTCGCGGATAAACTCGGTGAAGCCGAGCTCCCTGGCGAGGGCCGCCGCCTCCCTCCTGCACCGCTTCGTGCGCGCCGCAAACTGCTCCAGCTGCTTCCGCAAGCCCTCCGGCGGCCCTGCAAGGAAGAACTCGATGCGCGGCGCCCGCGTGAGCAGGAGGTCCTCGTGGCTCGTGACGCGCGAGAGCAGCGCATAGAGCTCTAGTCACCAGTCGTCGTCCTCCTCCTTGCCGTTCCCGACCTCGTGGCGGCCGCAATCCAAGATCACGCCTGGGCGACGTCGGCCGCGGGAGCAGCGCGCCGGACAGCCGACGGCCCAGAGCGAGAGTCCACAGGACCGAGAGATGGTCCGGCTGCAGACCGCTCGCGCCCAGTGGGTTCGGCTGTAGACTGCCCAGGGGCGCCGTTCCCTCGCCCCGTCGCCTTCTCGCATGGTGCGCCCCTGGCACGCCACCGTGGTGATAATCCTTTTCCCCAGAGGTCTGGAGCTTTCCCCTGAAACCTTGAGTGTGGCGGAAGCATGGTGGCGGTGGCATTGGCGCCTTCGGTGGAGCCCCCTATGGGGCCAGGAAGCGTGTGAGGGATGTGCCGGAAATTGTGTGGGGGACGCATGCGGGCGGTGGCACGGGGGCCTTCGGTGGAGCCCCCTATGGGGCCACGAGACGTGTGAGGGGTGTCCGAAATGTGTGTGGGGGACGCATGCGGGCGGTGGCACTGGGGCCTTCGGTGGAGCTCCCTATGGGGCCAGGAAGCGTGTGAGGGATGTGCCGAAAATCGTGTGGGGGACGCATGCGGGCGGTGGCACGGGGGCCTTCGGTGGAGCTCCCTATGGGGCCACGAGACGTGTGAGGGGTGTGCCGAAATGGGCGTGGGGGACGCATGCGGGCGGTGGCACTGGGGCCTTCGGTGGAGCTCCCTATGGGGCCACGAAACGTGTGAGGGGTGTGCCGAGATGGGTGTGGGGGACGCATGCGGGCGGTGGCACTGGGGCCTTCGGTGGATCTCCCTATGGGGCCACGAAACGTGCGAGGGGTGTGCCGAAATGGGTGTGGGGGACGCTTGCGGGCGGTGGTACTGGGGCCTTCGGTGGAGCTCCCTATGGGGCCACGGAACGTGCGAGGGGCGTGCCGAAATGTGTGTGGGGGACGCATGCGGACGGTGGCACTGGGGCCTTCGGTGGAGCTCCCTGTGAGGCCACGAAACGTGTGAGGGGTGTGCCGAAATGTGTGGGGGGCGCATGCGGGCGGTGGCACTGGGGCCTTCGGTGGAGCTCCCTATGGGGCCACGAAGCGTGTGAGGGGTGTGCCGAAATGGGCGTGGGGGACGCATTCGGGCGTTGGCACTGGGGTCTTCGGTGGGACCCTCTATGGGACCAAGAAACGTGTGAGGGATGTGCCGAACTGGGTGTGGCGGACGCATGGTGGCGGTGGCATTGGCGCCATCGGTGGAGCCCCCTATGGGGCCAGGAAGCGTGTGAGGGGTGTGCCGAAATGGGCGTGGGGGACGCATGCGGGCGGTGGCACGGGGGCCTTCGGTGGAGCTCCCTATGGGGCCACGAGACGTGTGAGGGGTGTGCCGAAATGTGCAGGGGACGCATGCGGGCGGTGGCACTGGGGCCTTCGGTGGAGCTCCCTATGGGGCCACGAAACGTGTGAGGGTGTGCCGACATGGGAGATGATGCTGGTGATGATGACGGGCGTGATGATGTTGATGACGATGACGATGACGATGACGATGACGATGACGATGACGATGATGATGATGATGATGACGATGATGATGATGATGACGATGATGATGATGATGATGATGATGATGATGATGATGATGACGATGATGACGATGATGATGATAGTGATGATGGTGATGATGATGATGATGATGATGATGATGATGATGATGATGATGATGATGATGATGATGATGATGATGATGATGATGATGACGGGAGGGGAGAGGAAGGGGGAGGAGGAGGAGGAGGAGGAGGAGGAGGAGGAGGAGGAGGAGGAGGAGGAGAGGAGGGAGAAGAACGCGGGGCGACGTCTCTTCAAAACGAGGACACCACAGGATGGTAGGGAAAAACACGAAAATCAATGAGTTGTGCTTTCTCGCCTTTTTGCGTCCGATGGGCAAGGTTAAATGCCGCCAGCGGCCACTCGGCCAAGATGGGAGGATCTTCTGGCGATCGAAAAATCGCCGATGGTTCTCAAGTGTGAGCGATCCACGCGGTGTCAGAGACCAACGCCGAAGTCGTGGCGTCACGAACCTACCGTGGTGAGGGTGCTGGCGTGCCACTGGCAGCGAACCTCGAAGAAGAGCAACTCCACAAGCACGGCAAGCCTTCGGATCCCCGCGCGGATTTATCCGATCGGCGCTGGGATCCCCTGGAGGCGCCTCCGCTGCCACAGAAGCCTCGCGTCGTCGTCGCCCCTCGCCTTCGTCGTCCGTCCTCCGCCGCGGGCCCCTCGCGTCGTCCTCGTCCGTCGTCATCCACCGCCGTCGTCCGCCGTCGTCGCCGTCCTCCGTGCAAGAAGGCAAGCTGCATGCACACACGCTCTCCTGAGCTCCGTACGCACCCCTCGGATCGGCGCTGGGAACCCCTCCCTGGCACGCGGGGCGGCGCGGCACGACGCGAACCCGCCGCGCTCGTAGGCGGCGACATCCGCGCCCTGCCCCCGCCGCCCATCGAATGGCCGGAATCTTTGATCGGCGCTGGTACTGCTCGGATTTCGCCGCCGAGTGAACCGGGGCGCGCCCGACCCCGCCCGATGCCACCGACCAGGGCCGCCGTCGCCCGAAGAACCACCAGCTACGGCAGCTTTGCTTTCTAGCGATTCTGGCAGATTGTCTGGGCTTCTGGTTGCCGGCGCGCAGAGGGGGAAGGGGGAAGGCTTCTTGGAAGGAGGCTGCTGCTTAGAAGGCGCCGGCCTGACATCTATAGAGAAGGCCCGCGCCTTCTAAGAAGCACGGGTGCTTCTAAGCAGCCTTCCCCCCTACCCCTGCCCCCCCTCTGCGCGTGGTCGAACTGGGTAGGGTTCGGATCTCGCCGCCTGGTCTGGATTCGCTCGAACTGAACTCCCAGAGGCCTCCCAGAAACCAGCGTGGTAAGTCTTTGAAGGCCGCGCCCAGCCGTGGCCACGAGGGGCATCCAATCCAGAAGGCCGAGCAAGCGACCGCCTTTTCCTGCTGTTCCTCTTCATCTTCCTCTTCCTCTTCCTCCTCCTCCTCCCTACCTCCCTCCCTCTTTCCCTCCCTCTTTCCCTTCCTCCCTCCCTCCCTCCCTCCCTCCTCCTCCTCCTCCTCCTCCTCCTCCTCCTCCTCCTGCTCTTCCTCCTCCATCCCCTATACTTCTAAATAACTTCTCCCTGTCGCACTTCGAGGCCAATTTTTAGGGCGGGCTGGGCTTTGTGCCTGAGACTGCCTCACCGCTTATGACCCTGAAGCTTAAACATTGGCAACTGCTTCACACATGGAGGGCGGGTGGTTTTCAAAATGTGGCTGTCGCCTTAGCGCCTCGCACATTCGTTTCAAACAATGTGCAAGAGCTTCACGGATTGAGGGTAATCAATTTTCAAATGTTGCTCTCGCGCCGCGCACATTCGTTTAAACAATTGCCAGAGCTTCACGGAATCAGGGTCACCCGTTTTCAAACTCTGGCTCTCGCCCTAGCGCCGCGCACAGTCGTTCCAAAAGCTTGAAAAATCACGGGTTCCCATAATCAACGTACCAGAAATGGCGTTCTGGAAGAATTCAGGATTATGAGGGTGTAGCAGTTGCGTTGATTCGCAGTGTTGAAGTCCCACGAATGGCGTCCTGTCACGATTCAGGATCGTCAAGGCGCAACAGTCAGGTTGGTCCGTGGCGTTGGACCCGTGTAGGGGCCTATGGAGAGGGGGAGCTCGGAGGGGGGTTGATTCCAACATCGTTGATGACTCTTGGGTTTGCACTGGTCCTCCTCCTCCTCCTCCTCCTCCTCCTCCTCCTCCTCCTCCTCCTCCTCCTCCTCCTCCTCTGTTCTGGCCCTCGGGGCTTGCACTTTAGGTGGGAGTTGGGTCGGTCTGGCTGCTATGTTTCGTTTCTTTATACTGAGGGCAGTCCTCTGTGGTGTTTGATCCTGGACTGCCTGCACTTTTTCAGTTTCGTTTTCCCCCTCGGCGTTGTCAACGACGGGTGGAGCGGCTTCCTGCTGCGGATGCCGTTCCTTCGGGAGTTCGGCTCAGTGCTGAACCTCGGGCACTTTGTGCGCCCGCTGGGCCTCGAGGGCTGCTACCTCGAGCAGCCGAGCACGGGCCTGGCGCAGGCGCCGTGCTTCCTGGCGGGTGCGCGGCCCGCTTCTCGCTGGGCCCGCAAGGGCTGGCCCCGCGTCCTCGGCGGCTGCAAGGCGGTTCCTGGCCCTTTGGCTCCGTCCTTGCAGCAGGCTGAGGCCTCGGGGTTGGCCTTTGTTGGCCTTCGGCCTGCTGTCCAACCGCCTCTCGGCTTCTGCTCGCTCGCTCGCTCCTCCTCCCTCCTCCTCCCTGCGTCATTCAAAACATCACCGACGGGGCTGTTGCGTCCCTCTCCTCCTCCTCCTCCTCCTCCTCCTCCTCCTCCTCCTCCTCCTCCTCCTCCTCCTCCTCCTCCTCCTCCCC